GTTGGTATAATCTACCTCAATTATGTATGATAAGTTCTCACAGCCTCTCTCCCTCCCCTTATTTTCCCTAGTCATCAAAACCTAACAAACCATCCTCAGACCCTGTCCTATCTGACTCCCTCTATCACCCCTCATGTTACATTATTAAGGGATCATGGGGAAGTCCCTGTATGTGTAAAAATGAAGATAACAATAGTCCCTACCTCCCATGGTTGTTGTGAGGATAAAATGAGATATTTGTAAAGTGCTTTGCAAACGTTAAAGCACTGAGTGCTAGTAGTAGTAGTAGCAGTAGCAGTAGTAATAATAGTGCATTCCTTCATCCATTCCCAAAATGTCTCAAACTTTTAGAAATTTTTCCTCTCAAAACAAAACAAAAAGAATGATGCACTTCTGCCAAATGTGCCTACGGTATGTACATTCCAAGATATATGTCATTGTCATAGGCTCATAGTTTTAAGAGGTGGATCAACCCTTAAAGGACATGAGTTCAACCCTCTCATTTTACAGATGTGCCCAGGCTCACATAGCTAATTAGTTTTGGAGACAGATTTGAGCCTAGGTCTTCCTGGCTCCAGGTCTAGGGCTCTACCCTCCACACCACTACACTTAGGGTCTACATGACCCTGAAGAGGGAACCAGAGCACTCACTACTGTTATCTTTCTATGCATGATAGGCTCAGTAAAATCAAAGGCTCCAGAAGCTCTGAGTGGCCCAAGAGGTCCGTGGGGCAGGAAGCTAGGGCTTTTCCCTGCCCCCATTTAAGTCCCAACCCCCAAGGGCTGCTTCTGGGGCCTTCTCCTCCCTGGCCACACCAAATAAGGGAAATCCTAGAGGATGTAGAACTGATCTAAGCCCAGTAGTAAAATAAGTACCTTTTCTCAAAGGACCAGGAGCCTTCTGAAGGAGCTGCACTCCAGCCCTTCCTGCTTACTAGATGCTACAATTCTCAAGTTTGCATTTCAATTTGTCTGATTTATGCATTTTGCACCAATATAATATGCCAATGGTAGGTACTATATGACCCCTATCCCTCCAAAATAAGATTCTGAACTAGCCATCTCTGATGAACCTCCAATACCTTGGCCAACGTGTAGGATGTTCTCAGGGTTCTGAAGATACTGCTTTAGCAGGACAACTTCACCCCAGTGTTAGAAGACAACACAGTCAATGTCCTTGTAATCTGTTATACTGTGAGGCACAATTTGGATCATTATATGCATATGCAGTTCGGGAGACCTTGGAATAGTGGCAGCTCCCCTTTAAGGCCACTTTTCTTCACCAAGTTGCCACTCATAAGAGAGTAGGAAACCAAGGCCGAATTTGCCTAAAATCAACTAATCAATCAATCAACAAGTAACTTATTAAGTGCCCACACTGTGCTAAATGTTGAAAATAAAAGACAAAAATGAAAGTTCCTGCCCTCAAGGGGCTTGCATTCTGTAGAGGGAAATGTACCTACAGATTCAAAACAAATACAACATAATTTGGGGGGTAGGCATGAATAGCTGGAGGGTTTAAGAAAGACCTCATGTTGGAAGCAATGTCTGAGATGAGCTTTGAATGAAAAAAAAAAAGGTCACAAGTCAAGTACTGCATCACAATATGTAAGAGCTAGAAGAGACCTTGGAGGCAAGTCAGCCTCCATTCTGTCACCTAATCTTCTCAGTCTTTACTTACTTCTCAGTCTTTGCATTACTCTTTTTTCATATGGTCTCTATTTCAGTCAGTCTGGCCTGCTAGGTGTTCCCAAGACACAACAATCAATATCCCACCTTCTTAGTGCACATGTGGTCCTCTCCATATATGGAATAAGGTCCTCATCCCCTCCCTCCCAAAAAATCCCTGGCTTTCCTCAAGGAACTGCTCAGAAGCCACCTCCCCAGGAGGCCTTTTCTAATCTCCTCACTTCTTAACATAATTTCATTCTTGAAATTACTTTGTAAATATGTTGTGTTTAGTTACTTATGCACATGTTGAAACCCTATCACAGAATGTAAACTCTTTAAAAACAAGGCCTATTTTATTTTATTGTATTGCCAGCACCTAGCACTGTCCCTGGCATACAGTACGCACTTTTGTTGAATTGAATGGAAAATGCCCGCAGTCTGAAGAATTCGTGTTATACTGCAACCCATTTACTGGAAACGGTACAGAAATGGCTTCATAATCATCGTGTGGTATACAAGTGCCAGATTTGGAACAAACTAGTTTCAATTCCTGGCTCCCATATTATTTACTGACTTTATGACTGAGCAAGTGCCTTTACAAGGCTGAGCCTAAGGGTTATTTATGAAATGAGAATAACACTACTTGGACAGCACACTTCAAGGAGCTTTATATAAGGAAAAGTGTTTTATAAACATTCAAACACTATAGAAATGCACTTATTTTTAAAGGCCACTAGATGGTGCCATGGTGCAGAGGGCATTGAACCTGGAGTAAGGAAGACCTGAATTCAAATATGACCTCAGACACTGACTAGCTTGTGTGACCCTGGGTCAAGTCACTTCACTTTGTCTGTTTCCTCATCTGTAAATTGGGGATAATAGCACCCAGAGTTGTTGTGAGACTAAAATCAAATATTTGTAAAGCTCTTTGCAAACCTCGAAGTGCTTTATTAATGTTATTTGTTGTTGTTATTGTTATTAATGAATTGGAAAAGTAGTACAAGGGAACCTGTGATTCTATGAAGAGACCCAAATACATTTTTTGGGGCTGGTCCACTGTTCAGGCACGATAATCCACAATTAAACTATAACTCCTTTCATTAAAATGACTGTGTAAGTAGAGGCATTTGAAATTCTTTTAGTTATAAGTACTTACTTCCTGATGAAGGAAAACAGGTGATTACCAAGCACTAACTGAATGGAACCAAAGTAGAAGAGAGATAGCAGCTCTATTTTTTATGTGAAAAATAAAGCCTTTATGTGAAAAATTTGATCTCCTTTTTGAATGACACATCATTCTAAAAATGAGAACAAAGATTCAGAAGAGAAAGCATATGAAAGTTAAACATTTCTGAAAAACTATTATAAATAAATAAGTTTACAAACTATTAATACAAAGTGATCAATAAGGCAATTGTACTTTCTAAAACATTTTTATAATTCCCAGAATATCAAACTATGAAGTTTATTCTCTGACATGAAGACCACAAGGCATTTTTAATAAAAGTTACTTCTGCCTCCCCAAAAAAAGTGTCAAGGCGATTTTTTTTTCATTATTGTGCAAGATCTATCAAAAAGGTTTCCCTCCCTCTTTAATTCTTTCCTTCAGACTCTTCTACTGTATGGTAAAGACTTATAAAAAAGTGGCCCATATTTTTCATTGTTCTTTTCGATAAAATGAGTATAATGAAAATCAGAACATACTCATTAATGGTATACAGCTAATACAGAATATTCTGTTGGGCATTTTGAAATTTATTTCAAAGTGCTTTGGAACAGCTCAACTGTAGAAATTTTTTAAAAACTTTGCTTACATTTGTTCTCATGCTTTTTAAAGACTATCTTCTGTGTCTCCATGACTGTATTTTTCATTTTTTAAAATGTAAATTCTTAAAGAAACCTCTATGCCCCCTCATCAATAGATAGATAGATAGACAGACAGATGATTCTAAGTAATGCCTCACTAAGGCATAATGGGTTTGAGGGAGTTTAACAAACACAATTCTTAAATAACACAGTATTATCTAAAATTACATTTTAAGAGTACACTCAAAATTATTTTTTTAAATGGCACTGTAAGATCAGATTAAATGAAATCAGTCATCCTCAAATACCCGTTAGAAAACATAGATAATTTCCACCTCCCCAATTAAGAGTTTTAGACATACATAATTTCCTTTGATTCTTCAACTCGTAATAAAAGAAGTAATAGACTACTTTGTATCCACATACCTATACATAAGATTCTTTTATCACATGTAAATCCTCAAAAATTGCTGCATGATAGTGGTTCCTAACTAGGAATCTCCAGTAAACTAAATGTCACATTGATCTTTATTCAGTTTCAACAAAGTATGTACCATGATTCAGCGTAATAAAAAAGCAAGTATACCTTGAGTATAAACTGTAGACCATGTTTCATATTTGAAAATATTACTATTTTTACTGTATATTGGTGCTGCTGTGATTTTAAAAATATAAAAGCATTTAAAAGTATAACTGAATTCAGGATAGCTTTGTATAATTTTCTCAATAAAATTCAAATAATGCAACTACTGTCATTATCAGTAGTACTCTGAGTTAAGAAGGGATCCTCATACTTGAAAAAGCTGGGAACCACTGCAGTTTATGTCAGTCCTCTAATTAAAAAAAAAAAACAAAACCTAAAAAAAAATTTTACATCAACTCTCTGAGTCACAGTTACAAAGTTGTATGCTTTCATCCTAGCTTCTAAATTAGACTTTCAATAGCTGACAAAATGAAATAACTTTAATACTTACTATGTGTGTTTTTAGCTATTAAGAAATGTGGCACAAAAAATTAGAATCATAATTTTTTATTGTTTCTCTCCTTCAAGTTGTTGTACCACATTACATTCCCCACAAAGGCCATTTCTTGGGGGTTAACGTTAATCTGATGCAAATATTCCTGGATATTTCTCAATAAAATAAGAAACTCTTGCACAATAAAATTAAACTCCCATTAAATTTAAAATGTATAAATTCTACATTTTAAAAAGTGTTACACTTCTAACATAAATTTTTTAAAGAAAGTTGAGTTTTAAAAGGTACTGGTTTTATAAGAATACACCCACACACAAATTTCAGTGTGGTTTTTAAGAAGTCAAATGAACACTGTTTAAAGTCTTACTTAACTTTGCTGCAAAAAAAAGACTAACAAATATGGATGGCATATATGAGAAAATAGGAAATCATCTAATTTATTAAGAGAGACTTATGCTGCAGATAAATTCCTAAACGGCATGTTACAAACAATAAGCCATTATAAAAAACTGCAATATAAATTAAAGAGCAGTAGGTATAACTAACCTTTCTTCCTGGTTTTAGGCCTTTTTTTCTTGTTTTGAGATTTTCAGTGTGAGAGATGTTTTTTGTCAGGGAAACATTTTTAGGAGACCTGCCCTTCTTGGGGACTGAAGTCTGTCCAGGTGGTTTAGCCCGACCTGGTTTCTTGCCCCGCTGTGCTGGTATTGGAGCAGTTTTCTGTGGAGACTGCATTGAACGCCGGGTCACTTTGGAAGGGGAAGATTGTGTTTTTGCACTACTCTTTGTAATGGAAACTGAGAAAAAAATACAAACAAAAATAAAACAATATGAATGCCAGAATTTTAAGGCATTTTACCTAATTTTGACTACATAAGTGTTTTGCGCAAATGGACTTTAGTTGCTTTTGAACAGATTTTAAGTTCATTGGCTATGAAGCCTCTTACACTTTAAATTTTAAAATAATCAGAACATTTAAAATAAAATCAATTTTCAAAACTAGTCTATTAACCCCAGAAAACACAAGAGTCTAATTCTCTATAATAATATATTAGTATAATATTTACAAGGTAAAAAAATGAAACTTTCAAGCTATAATGAAAATTTTCATCAACTCACCTTTCGAATGCCTTCCATATTCTTCCTTGCTAATGATGGAAAGCATCTTTCCTTCATGGAATATACTCACATACAATTATTTTACTCATCACTAAAACCAGTGTAAGCTGCCACATGGAAAAGATCCAGAGTAATGTCCTATTCTTGAATGAAACGCTTCATAAGATTTTGAAAACATAAATACTCAAGACCTTAAATCTATGTCTAATCACAAATGTAGCTTATTATTTCAGGTTGAATAAGAGTGTTACTCCTTGAATCATGATTATAATTTCTTTATGAAGCATTTACTTCCCACTAGATACTTATTATTCATCTAACCCAACTAGGCTTGAATATCTCTTAAGATTGGTATGTAATCAGTCATTTTTAAAAATTTAAATATTCATGATTCAGTTACTCTACTTTCCATTCTAAAACAAACCAAAAACGTCATCTAGCATAATAAATAATGTCAAGCAAGAGATTGTTACAGGAATGTTAGGCATAGTTTTTTATATATGTATATATAAAGGCTATGCAAAATATAATCAATTTAATTTTTAAAGGGTATACATTTATCAATTTAACACTCTTCACACTAGCTCTTCATTGTATTATATGAATAGATGTGATTATATTAATCCTTAGACCATTTTTTTGTTAGCATTCGACTGTTCACAGATGAAACCAGATGCTTTACAGATGCTTTCCACTCCATTTTACTTCCAATAACATTTTCAGGCCATTCATTCACCAACCAATATTACTCCAATTCTTCTATCATCCTGCTGATCATATTCTTCTCCTGGGCACAAATGTCTCTCAGGATCTTTGAGACATTGCTCTCATATTTTTCTTCCAATTTGTAAGGCTCCTCCTCAATTTCCTTTGTTAAATAAACATTCATATCACACCTGTAACAAAGCAAAACTATGTCCTACACCCACATCTCTTTCCTCTCTACATTCACTTTCTGGATAATTTCAGTAAGTTCCATCAGGACAATTATTGACTCTATGTAGCTAACCCCCAGATCTACATACCCAACTCTAATCTGTCTCCTGAGCTCCAGTCCTACAACACTAACTACCTATGAGACATTTCTAACTGCATATTCCAAAAGACATTTCAAACTCCACATTTACAAAACAGAACTCATTATCTTCATTCTTCCTTCACCCCCATCTCTTTTCTAAACTTTCCTTCTTTGTTGAGGGTACCATTATTCTTACAGTCATCCATATTCACAAGCTCTATCACCTTTAATTCCTCCCCCTCTCTCACTCCACACTTCCCATTAGTTGCCAAATGTTGTTGAATGACATCTCCATGACACCTCTCACCACTCTCACACTCTCTTCACTCAAGTGGTTTCAGCCCTAGATCAGGCTATCACCTGGTGCTTGGAGATTAAAGTCTCCCATCAGTTTCCCTGCTTTGGGACTTTCCCTTCTCCAAACCATTTTCTCCACAACTGCCAAAGTATAGGTCTGACCAACTCACAATGCTAACTCAACAAAATGAAGTGGTTTTCTATTGTGTTTAGGATAAAAAACTACTTGTTTCATCTTTAAATATCTTATGAACATGGCTCCAACCTATCTTTTCAGGTTTATTGTATGTTACTCTCCTTCATACTCTACCATCCACTAAAATTGGCCTTTTTGCTTTTTCTCATACATGATACTCTATCTCTGATTTCTGTGCCTTTCTAGAGCTGTCCCTATGCCTGGGATGTGCTCCCCCTTCCTCATCTGATTCCTGGAATCCCTAGATTCCTTTAAAGCACAGCTAAAGTAGCAAATGAAGCCTTTTGTGATCTCCCCAATTGCTAATCCCTCCCCGACACATGCATTTTCTTGTATTTACTTGTTTACAAATTTTCTATCTACATATATGTGTACTTCCTGGCCTCAAAGTTCAAAGACCATGGGGTTCATGTCCCATCTCTAACAAATACTATCCCTATCCCATTTCTGTATGTTATTTCTCCTGAGAAAATGCAAGCCTCTTGGGAATAAGGATCATTTCATTTTTGTCTTATATCGCAAGTTTCTCCTGCAGGAAAGGTCTGGAACATATCTCAACTCTGCAGCTTAACAATTCTTTTATTCATCTAGAATTTATTTGTTAGATTATTCCATTCTTTTTTTCCCTTTACAATACCCCCAACTTCGTACACCCCCTCCCTCTGGTCAACATTGACAGATGATCAATTTTCTAACTTACTAGAGAAATCAAAGTCATTTACCATAAGCAGCTTCCAAAAGGTCCAAGTTCTATCTTGAACAATTTTCTTTTCCAACCTTCTGGTCTCAAAGGAAGGTGCTCATATACCTTTCAATGGCTAATCTCTCCAATTTTTGTATTTTCTGGGATATTACTTTTCTCCATTTGAATCTTCTATTACTCTCTCTATTCTGACTCTTCTTTCTCTGTCTAAACATGTTCAAGTCTGCCTTTAATTTGAAAGAAAAAATTTTTCCTACATCCTTCTACTTTCCTAGTTCTCTGCATATCACTAACAAACACCTGTAAAGACTGTAATACATTTTTCTTGCCACCATTTCCTCACCAAGCATCTCTTCCTTTCCCCTGACAATCTAATTTCCCAACCACTACCCATTGTACTGGAACTGTTCTTTCCAACATCAATTATTCATGACTAGGAAAGCACCAAAACAGAGCTTTTTGCATTTCTCATTCTCCTTAGTCTCTCTGCCTTATCTTGCACTGATAAACTACTCTCTCACATCTCAAAACTCTCTTCTTTCTACACTATCTACTATTCTGGTTCTTTTCCTATTTCTCTAATCAATGCTTACAGCTTCCCTTTGCTAAAGCCCAACTTTACTTTGCAACCCCTAAATAAAGGAATAACTTTAACATTCAATCTTCAATCCTATGAGAAGAACACAAGCACCTTCAAAACAAGAACTATTTTAATCAGATTTTGTATCTTCTACATCCAGTATAATGGCAATATAAGGGGTAAAATAAATATTTATTGAGATGAATTAAAGGCTGTTCATTTCTATGATGGGGGAGATTGTGTATAAACTCTCTTTCTGAGAAATATAATTTACTACTATGGTTTCTTATTAAAAATTTCCATTATCAACTCTACAGAGATGGGCCCTCAAACTGTCCTGGGCTCTAGTCCCAAATTCCTAACTATGTGCTGGATATTTCCACCTAGATGTCTTGTTACCTCCAATTCAACATATCTAAATCCCAACTCATTTTACTCCCCAAAATAGTTCCCTGCCCTGCACATCCTTAAAAAATAAGTATAACCTTATTCCACATATTCACCATGTAGTTGATTCTTTTCTAACATTTCTTTCAGGTTTAAAATAACAACATGATAGATTGTAGAAGAGTCAAGCTTTCTCATATACACTCCAGCAAAGATCTAAAAATGTCACCAGACTGAATAACGACCAAGAACTCCAAAGGAAAATAACCATTAGTACTTTCAACCAGCCTAGACTATAGGAAAAAAAGCAAGCTAGAAGCCTAGAGACATTAAGAAAGGGATCTCACTAGAGAAGTCAGTGCAAGCATACTTCAACAAGTTGGAAACCTTCCAGTACTCTAATCAGAGATGGTCCAAGGATTCCTGAAGCCTGAAGCAGGGTCCAGGGAGGCAGTCAAAAAGAGGAAGAAGGGATATGGGGAAACTCAGAGGATTTAGGAAGAAGGGGGAGACAGGTAGAAAATGCCCAGGTTTGTGACAACACACTTGGGCCAGGAGCTGGAAGCAATCAAACCAAGATAGAAGCTAGAGGATAGGTGGTGGAATCCAAAGTACTCTAAGGTGACCTAGAGGGCAAAGAAGACAAGACCGAGGAGTTCTGAAAAAGGTCTCTTTTATCAGATGAATGAGGAACTAATTCAAATTTATAGAAATGAGTCATTCCCCAAATGATAAACGGTCAAAGAATATGAAAAGGCAGTTGTCAAAAAAATCCAAGCCACCAATAACTATATGCAAACATATTCTAAACCACTAACAATTAGAAAAATGCAAATTCTAACAACTCTGAGATTCCACCTCACACCCAGCAAATTGGCTAAGCTGACAGAAAAAGGAAAATGACAAATGCTGTAGGGATTAACGGAAAACAAGTACAATTATACACTGCTGGTGGACTGGTGGTCCAGTCATTTTGGGAAGCAATCTGGAACCATGCCCAAAAAACTATTAAACTGTACATACTTTTTGACCTATTGTCACTGCTACTAGATCTATACCCCAAATGAGATAAAAGAGGAAAAAGATTTATATACAGAAATACTTATAGCAGATCTTTTTGTGGTGACAAAGAACCGAAAACTAAGGTATTTGGCTCAGCAAGTTATGATACATGAATGTAACGGAATGCTACTGTACTCTAAGAAATTATGAAGGGGACAGTTTCAGAGAAACATGCAAAGACTTGTATGAACTGATGGAGTAAAGTGAGCAGAACCAGGAAAATAATTTATACAATAATAACAACACTGTAAAGAGAAATAACTTTGAAAGACCTAAGATATCTGATCAATGTGATGACTAACCATGATTCCGGAAAACCAATGCATTTTAAATGCCTCCTGAGAGAGAGATGACAGTACTCATTATGCAGATTGAGACATTTTTTCAAAACTTAACTCCAGAATGTGTTTGCTTTGAGTATACATTTATGCAAAA